AGATAGCAGTGAAGAGAGTTTCCAAAAATTCTCATCAAGGACTTGAGGAGTTCAAGAATCAAGTCGAGCTTACCGTGAGGTTGCAACATGTAAATCTGGTACCGATCTTGGGGATTTGCACTCAGAGGGAAGAAAATATGTTGATTTACAAGCACATGCCAAACAAAAGCTTGGATTTCTACATCTTTGGTGTGCAAACTCTTGGGTTTTGGTTTTGGTTCTGGTTCTGGTTCTTATCTATAGGCCTAATCATCTAAGCTTCAAAGAAGCCCTCGTTCTTGCTTCTTGATAATTCCAATTTTCTGCACAATCATGGAGGCGGTATCTATTAGATTGGGAACAACGCATTCAAATCATTTGAAGGGATTACTCAAAGGACTTTATATCTTCAAGAATACTCGAATTTTACGATAGTTCACAAAGACCGGAAGGCTAACAGCATTTTATTGGACAAAGACCTGAATCCCAAGATATTGGATTTTGGCATGGCTATGGCTTTTACAAAAGATGAATGTGATGCGAAAACCAGCCGCATTACTAGAACATAGTAAGTAATTAACTTGTCTGTCAAGGTTTTAACAAAACATGACATTTTATATGTTTCATTTGTTGAATTATTGACAATTTTCGGCGTTTACGTTGAATTGCAATGGCTATATTCCCCTTGAGTATGTAAGAACAGATATATACTCCATGAATTATGGTGTTTATAGCTATGGAGTTCTACTTCTACAAATCATCAGTGGCAAGAAGACTGCATGCTATTGTGGCCCCTGCAAAAATTTGACCCTTTCAGAATATGTAAGTTACCAGTCATTCTTTCCTATAGACATCCTAATTTTTTGAAAAAAAATTAGGATGTACTATAGCAAGAAACTTGGCCAAAGTTGGGTAACATTTAAGTTACTTCAGGGGTATGAATTGTGGAAAGAAGGTGAAGTCATGGAGTTTTTCGATTTATCACTAGGCGATTCGTCTTCTCCATGGAAACTGAAGAAACGCTTGCAGGTAGCTCTACTATGAGTCCAAGAAAATCCTGCAGATAGACCAACCATGTTGGATGTTTATACGATGCTCAAAAGCGAAACTGCAACCATCCCAACTCCTGAAAGGCCTGCGTTTTCAGTTAAAAGAGATGAAGATGAGGAAAGTAAATGTGCATTGAAGGTGAAAATTTGCCCAGTCAATAAGGTAAACAATCACCAAACTGGTAGCCGAAAGACAATATAGCCTCTCATGGTACATAATTAGAGAAGATATTGATATATTCGCACTTAGTCACCGATCAAGTAGGCCTAGTCTGTCCTGGAACATGATGGAAGATGCCCTTGGAAAGTTTCAGATAATCACAAAAGTTGCTTGAAAATGTAATGAGTGTTTTTACATTCAAGTGTTTATAGAAAATATTTTGTGTCCGTTTGTTTTATTATTTTGGATAGGATTTTGGGAATAATATTGGCTAGTTGAATAAGGGAGTATTACGTGCTAAAATTTAAAAATTTATAAAAAAAAAAAACCCCCTAGGTTTGCTAATTTAACTAAATACCCCAATATATAAAAAATTTATAAAATGACAAAAACACCCCTACCACCCTCAGTGCCAGATTCTGGTCACCACCCAGAATCTGGCCAAAAAATTGCGTTACGACATATACCAGTCGGATCTGGTTGGTATGACGTTGCAAAAGTCCATCTTTGGCCGTCAGCGACTGTAACACCCCACTTGAGGTACGTAGTTGTTGTTTCTTCTTTCGCTCTTATTTGAGTTGGTTTTTGGTAATATTGTTTGATTGAGTGTTGTGTTGAATGTTTGCCCTGAAATTGGTTGAAAATAGAAGAAGTTCAGTGTGCCAATCTTCGCCGGGGCGAAGAATAATCTTCGCCGCGGCGAAGGTGTGTTGAAACCACGGGAAACTCTCTGGACAGTTTCGCCGCGGCGACAGAAGCTTCTTCGCCGCGGCGACAGGCCGACCAAAATGTCTGCTAAGTTTTAGATATTTTCTTCCCTAAGGGCAATTTGACCTTTCTACCCCTAATTAGTAGGAAAAGTGGGGAGTAAAATGTAAGGATTTTTCATGGAGAATATGTTGACTTGAATATGTTGACTTGGGGGTGTGTTTGTAATGAATCAAAGGATATAGATAGAATTCCCAAAGAAGAGTAAGGGCAAAATGGGAATGCTTGTGTATAAATTTCATTAAAAGGAATTAAGAATTAGCAAACCCTTCATTCTTCTTCTCTAACGCAACTCTCCTCTCTTGCTCCCTCTCAACTTCTCTTTCTTTTGAGCAAGGAGTTCCAAGGGGTTTTTGAAGTGATTTGGGGTAGAAAATCAACCTAAGGCTTCCTAAGGTAAGGATTCTTACTTTGGTTGTGAAACTTTGTGAGTTTTAGCTTATATTGAAGTTTGAGGGTTTTTGTTCTTTTGGTTAAGAGTAGAGAAAAAGTCAAGCAAACCAAGTGAAAGGAAGAGTTGGTGAAGTCTCTCCATAACAAGGTAAGTAAATCCCAACCCAAGTTGAGATTTAAGAATTTTCTTGATTAGGGTTTTGATAGAAATGATGTATGTATGTGATATACATGTGATATGCCATGTATGGAGGTTTAAATAGAGATTTCTATGCCTTGTGATTGGTTATACCTTCCAAAGATAAGAAATGAGTTGTGGTTTGGAATGGTAGTTTGAGATGGAATTGAAGGGGTATTGTGGATCCCCTTTTTGGAAGTGTTTTTATTTGGCAGGTTTTGTGGCTATGTGAGGGGGTTTCTCCCTATTTTGGATGGTTAGAGAAAGATTTAGAATCATTGCTATAGTAGAGTTTTATAATGCACTTGAGTTGTTTGATGAAATGCCTAATAGAGGTTTGAGTATGAGTAGTGAACCTTAATTCTTGCAACATTACTTGTTGGTATTTCCTAAGTGCAATAATGGAGATGAACCATCCATATGCATTATTTATGCATTGAAAAGTGACCTAAGAAAGAGTAGGAAACTTTGTGGATGCAATTACTCTATGAGTAGAGAACTTGGTGGATGCAACTACTCTAAGGGTAGAGAGAATGAAAAATGCTAGAATAGAGTGAATGAGAAGAGTAGTAGAAATGGGTTGATGCTTTGTGATCATCACCCGACGGTTATGAGAATCGGGTTGATGCTTTGTGATCACCACCCGAATAGCCATTAGAGATGGGTTGATGCTTTGTGATCGTCACCCGATAAGTATTAGAAATGGGTGGATACTTTGTGACTATCACCCGGTTAGTTATTAGATAAGTGGGTTGATGCTTTGTGATCATCATCCGACATTTATTAGAAGTGGGTTGATGCTTTGTGATCATCACCCGACAGTGATTAGAGACGGGTTAATGCTTGGTGATCGTTACCCAAAAGTCATAAGAAACGGGTAGGTGCTAGGTGGGCTCCACCTGATAGTTATGAAAACCGAGTAGGTGCTTCGTGATCCCCACTCGGTAGCCACTAAGAACGGGTTGGTACTGTGTGAATTCCACCCGATAGTCATGGAGAGTGAGATGGTACTGTGTGAATGCCATCCGGCCGTACCTCCGGTAAGATGAGGCCATGACGTTTAGTAGAAACAGAAATAGTATAAGGAAAGAATTAAGAGTATTATACACGGGGACAAACAGATAGAGGGTTTTACTTACTGAGCATTATTTTGTGCTCACCCCGTTATTTTTCCTTTGTGGGTGCAGGATCTAGGTGATGATGCAGTCGGAGGGGCGTCGGCAAGCGAAGAGCAATAACTACACTGTTTCCCCTGTTTTGTCTTTTAAAAATGACTTTTTTGTAAACAGTATTTCATTGTGTATAAAAGACATATGACTTATAATGAAAAGAAAGTTTTGGGCCCAATTTTCTATTGTTATTATGCATGCATGGTACTAGTTTTCAGTAGTTGTTACAGCGACTGCCAAAGATATAGCCATCGTTAACCGTCAACAAATGTCATTCCTTTGGCCATCGTTGATGGTCAGATCGGTGAATTACTAGCCAGTTTCGATCGTGGTGTAGGCTGTTGTGACAGATTCCAGCTACCACCGGTGGTGGTTGCTGAAATCTAGCAAGTATGGGTGGATGGGGGTGTTTTTGTTAACTTTTAAACTTTTTTCTAGGGATATTTAATGAAATTAATAAACTTAAGGAGTCTAAAAGTAATTAAAAAATATATTGATATTTCTCGTAATATGCCAAACAATATTTTGAGAGTAAGATTAAGAATATGGATAGAAATATTGAATCAAATGCACCCTTTGTTTGTGGAATTCAGCCGATGCTCAATTTTCTGTAGTGCCACAAGCTAAGAAGCCAATTCTATTCATCAGCCCTTCGTGAAGGCTCTATAAAGTTTGGCCCATGAAAGCATAGCCTTCTTTCAATTTATTTAAAGTAAGAAAATCCCTTTTGGGGAAACATACAGTCAAGAGGATGGGTCGTTATTTTACCCTTGACCCACCATAGGAAGCAGTCTTAGTGCCTTTACGTTTACGCAACTTCAACCTCAAAAAGAAACAAGAAAAACCTGGTTCAAGTTTTGACACGTTTCTGAGTTCAAAAGATTACATTAACTGAAGACTGCAAGCTTGCAGCCACAATCAATCAATTGATAATACTTTGATTAGTTTCTATAGCTGTCAAAATGATAATTTAATGGAGTTTTTATATTTTTAATGGGGTTTTCAGTATTTTCAAATGAATTTAATATTAAACGATTTAACAGGAGAGAAAATGAAATATAACCCTTACTCAAAAATTGTCTATTTATTCAAGAGAATCCGTGACTTAGGGTAAAATCACATAGAAAATGAAATATAACCCCTATTCATAAATTGTCATTTTATTTAACCGAATCCATGACTTATAAATACAATTTGCCAGCTGTGTGAAATGTAGAAATGATAGTCTAAAATCCTTTCATGAATAGTAACAAAGGATTTAATATAAATACAATTTCTCCTTTTACTCTCTTTCTCAATAATTCATAAAAAATTTAACAAGTGGGCATGTCTTGACAAGCAACAGAAGCCAAATGACTTGAACCTGTCTCATAATATTTTCTAATTGTTTAATGCATGGCTAAAAAATCTAGTCCTAGGGAAGTATCAAGCAGCTTTGTTTATGGCGGCAACAAAAAGTATGATCATCTTCCTCTTCTTTTTTATTATGACTTGCCGGTTGAAGTTTTCTATTTCACAAAGTTGGATCAAAGCTGGTAACTGGTATGCTGGTAGTGATTTTCCCATATCAGAAATAAATTCTGCCTTGTTTACTCACCTTATATGTGCTTTTGCCAATGTAGACTCTTCCACCTACCAGCTCTCCATCCCATCTGCCAATGAACAATACTTCTCAAGCTTTAGTGGTACCATCAGAGGCAAAAGTCCATCAGTTACAACTCTTCTGTCAATCTGGAATGGACAGAATGCAACAAGTCAATCCATATTGGGCAAAAAAGTGAACTATTCAGTTCTATCTTCAATGGTTAGTGATCTTTCTCATAGGAAGTCTTTTATTGAATCTTCCATAAAAACCGCCAAGCGTTATGGATTTCAAGGGATTGATTTGTTCTGGCTGTGGCCCAACGGTACAGACTTGAATAATATGGGAAGGCTTTTAGATGAGTGGAGAGCTGCAATTACTTCTGATGCGAGAAACTCTAGTGAGCCAGAACTAATACTGACAGCGGCTGTTCGGTACATTCCAAATCATGAAACTGTGAGTTATCCGATTGAATCGATGAAAAGGAACTTGGACTGGGCACATGTGGTTGCATATGACTATTTTCTGCCGTCCAGGGATAACGTTACGGGCACCCATGCTGCTTTGTACAACCCTGCAAGTAATATTAGTACTGATTTCGGTATAAACAACTGGTTAAGCAGAGGATTTCCAGCTAACAAACTGGTTCTGGGTGTGCCTTACCATGGCTATGCATGGACACTAGCGAACCCAAATGACAAAGCTATCGGCGCACCTGCTTCAGGGCCTGCTATCACCATTGATGGTTCCATCGGGTACAAGTTAATCAGGGCATTCATTCAGAATTATGGTTACGGAGCTGCTTCCGCATACAATGCTACCTATGCAGTGAATGTATTCACCATTGGAGCAACTTGGATCAATTTTGATGGAGTTGAAACGATTCGAGCAAAAATTGCTTATGCCAAGGAGAAGAAACTCCTTGGTTACAATGCATTTCAGCTGTCTAATGATGATAATTGGGCACTTTCTCTGGCAGGTGAGTGATTGTTCATATCAATTCTTGAATTTTGAAGACAGATTTTAATTGATTTAGTGAATTAAATTTACAGCTTCTGCAGAAAAGGAGAATCAGGAAAATAGGAGGCGATTACTGCTGACGATTTTGCTTCCAATTGCTTCAGTTTTTATCCTAACAGCCTGCATGATTTGTTACTTTCAAAGAAAAGTAATCAAGATAAAAGGTATTCAACAGATTTCAGTTTTCATAATATGAAAGGAGAATCATATTGATTTTTGTTCCTCTTTTCCATTCCAGGGTCGATTTTTCGAAGCAGAAGAAGCATAACTATTCCCCAAAACCATGAAAGCAATGCTCCAAATCTGCAAGTTTTCAGCTTTGCCAGCATCAAAGACGCTACAAACAACTTTTCTAATGCAAACAAGCTAGGTGAGGGTGGATTTGGCCCTGTATATAAGGTAAATATGCGCGATATTATAGGTTCTGATGAATGTCAGGAGTCTGTGAAGCAGAAAAAAAATTGAGCTTATATGCAGCAGCCAGTGCTAAGCATTGGTATTAACTGTGGCAGGGTCAATTACATGGTAATCAGGAAATTGCAGTCAAGAGACTTGCGACAACATCTACTCAAGGACTGGAGGAGTTTGAAAATGAGGTTTCACTTACTGCAAGACTTCAGCATGTGAATCTACTTAGAGTTTTGGGATATTGCATTGAAAGAGAAGAAAAAATGCTGATATATGAGTACATGCCGAATAAAAGCTTGGATAAGTATCTCTTTGGTAAGCATTATACAGTTAATTCGATTCTATCTTTTGTTTACCTGTCATTGTTTGCATCAGTTTCTGATCAATCGTGTAACATTTTGCAGACCCAATAAGAGGATATGTGTTAGATTGGCAAAAGCGTGTGAACATTATTGAAGGGGTTACTCAAGGACTGTTATATCTTCAAGAGTACTCGAATTTCACTATCATTCATCGAGATGTGAAATCGAGCAACATTTTGTTAGACGCTGAAATGAACCCGAAGATATCAGATTTTGGAATGGCTAGACTTTTCAACAAAGACGTGTGTGAAGCTAACACAGGCAAGATTGTAGGAACATAGTAAGTAATTAAACTCCATCCATGGCTTCTCATTTTACATCTTCTTTTGCCAAATACTTAACAAATTCTCATTAATATCCATTTATGCAGTGGCTATATTCCTCCTGAATATGCACGGAAAGGGATCTACTCCATGAAGTATGATGTTTATAGTTTCGGAGTTCTACTTCTGCAAATCATAAGTGGCAAGAGGAATACATGCTACTACGGCGCATACGAAAATTTGAACCTTCTTGAATATGTAAGTCAGTGATAAAAATTTTTCAATCATTTCTTTATAGCAGGACATAATTTTAAGCTTTGTTTTCAGGCATATGAACTTTGGAAAGGTGGCATAGGCATGGAGTTTATTGATCCATCACTCGACGATTCATCTTCGTCGTGTAAAATCATGAGATGTATGCAAGTGGCACTATTATGTGTACAAGAAAATCCAGTGGAGAGACCATCCATGTTGGAAGTTTTCTCGATGCTCAAGACTGAAACAATGGCTATTCCTACTCCTAAAAAGCCTGCATTTTCTGTAAACCGTGACGAAAATATCGGAAGTAGCTCAACATCCAGGCAAGAAGTTTACTCTTTCAATGATTCACAACTTTCCGAGTTGGAACCCAGATGAGATTATAGGGTTTCATGAATGATAATCAAGAGGGATGTGTTTTGAGCCTCACTATTTGACTCTTGACCGTAGTCGAAGTGTAAGTCAAGGTATTATATATTTATACTACAATACCTAGCAAATAACTTGAATGATCCTCTGTCTATCACACTAATCCTCTGGATCCCAGGGTCTATTGAACACCCAATATTTTGTAGGATTCGAACACAAGACCTCTGGATAATTCATCCAGATGGTTAAAGTCTTGTCGTCTGATCACAAAGCTAATGGTTTCCGCTACCATATCTTATATCTAATTAATTAAATGACATTTATTATTTATTCAACAACCTTTGTACCATACTCTTTCAATGAATTAATACACAATAAATAAGCTCTTAAATGATAGTAATAAATATGTTTTTAAGGACATTTTAATATAAATTAGAGTTTGCCCTTGGAAATTCACTTGATAATAATAAAGTATAGGAGTATGTATATGGTAATGTTAAACTTTAAGAAATTGTAAGGTTAAATGTGATATTAATTAAAAGTATAAGGGCCTATAAGTATTCTTTTGTACTATACCGAAATAGTATTTAGCATATGAGGGACTCTATTGATATTATCCAAACGGCGCCGTGTTTTAGCTCATAAATATACAACACGCATTTGAGGTGAACAATCCAAATTCCAAAACTCCTTTACTCTTCTCAGTCTCTCTTTTACTTCTCACTCTCTTTACTCTCCACCGCTTTCGGCGGCATCTAGACGGAATTTTCGCCTGAATCTTGGTCGGACTCTTGGCGGCTTTGTTCTGCTGAGTTGGCGGAACTCTCACTCAGTTCTCGGGAGTGCTCAAATTGGCGGCATTTTTTCGACGCGGTGGATTTTCTAATTGGTCGTGTTCTAGTCGTTGATCTTGGCCTACGTTGAGTCTCAGTTTCCGGAATCTTCACACTGACGGTGAGTTTGAGTTCTTTGTTCTTGTACACTTTTATCTTTTACATTATTTGAAAACTTGTGTTTCGGGCCACTTTTGACCTTGACTTTCATCATGGAGCTCTCCTCTTTTTTTTTTTGCTNGAGCAATATTTTGTTAGACACTGAAATGAACCCGAAGATATCAGATTTTGGAATGCTAGACTTTTCAGCAAAGACGTGTGTGAAGCTTACACAGGTAAGATTGTAGGAACATAGTAAGTAATTAAACTCCATCCATGGCTTCTCATTTTATATCTTCTTTTGTCAAATACTTCACCAACTTCTCATTAATATCCATTAATGCAGTGGCTATATTCCTCCTGAATATGTATGAAAAGGAATCTATTCCATGAAGTATGATGTTTACAGCTTCGGAGTTCTACTTCTGCAAATCATAAGTGGCAAGAGGAATACATGCTATTACGGCGCATACGAAAATTTGAACCTTCTTGAATATGTAAGTCAGTGATGAAAATTTTCAATCATTTTTTGTAGCAGGACATAATTTTAAGCTTTGTTTTCAGGCGTATGAACTTTGGAAAGGCGGCATAGGCATGGAGTTTATTGATCCATCGATGATTCATCTTCGTCGTGTAAAATCATGAGATGTATGCAAGTGGCACTATTATGTGTACAAGAAAATCCAGTGGAGAGACTATCCATCTTGGAAGTTTTCTCGATGCTCAAGACTGAAATAATGGCTATTCCTACTCCTAAAAGGCCTACATTTTCCGTAAACCGTGATGAAAATATTGGAAGTAGCTCAACATCCAGGCAACAAGTTTACTTTTTCAATGATTCACAACTTTTCCAATTGGAACCCAGATGAGTTTGTAGGGTTTCATGAATGATAATCAAGAGGGATGTGTTTTGAGCCTCACTATTTGACTCTTGACCATAGTCGAAGTGTAAGTCAAGGTATTATACATTTATACTACAATACCTAGCAAATAACTTGAATGATCCTCTGTCTCTCACACTAATCCTCGGGATCCCAATGTCCATTGAACACCCTATATTTTGTAGGATTCGAACACAAGACCTCTGGATAATCCATGCAGATGATTAAAGTCTTGTCGTCCGACTACAAAACTAATGGTTTCTACTACCATATTTTATATCTAATTAATTAAATGACATTTATTATTTATTTAACAACCTTTGTACCATTCTCTTTCAATGCATTAATACACTATCAATAAGCTCTTAAATGATAGTAATAAATATGTTTTTAAGGACAGTTTAATCATAAATTAGAGTTTGCCCTTGGAAATTCACTTGATAATAATAAATTATAGGAGTATGTATATAGTTATGTTAAGCTTTAAGAAATTATAAGGTTAAATGTGATATTAATTAAAAGTATAAGGGGCTATAAGTAATCTCTTGTACTATACCGAAATATTGTGTAGCATATGAGGTGAACCATCCAAATTCGAAAACTCCTTTGCTTAACTCTTCTCAGTCTCTCTTTTACTTCTCACTCTCTTTACTCTCCCCCGCTTTCGGCGGCATCTTGACGGAATTTTCGCCTGAATCTTGGTCGGACTCTTGGCGGCTTTGTTCTGTTGAGTTGGCGGCACTTTCACTCAGTTCGCGGGACTGCTCAAATTGGCTGCATTTTTTCGTCGCGGTGGAGTTTGTAATCGGTCGTGTTCTAGTCGTTGATCGTGGCCTAAGTTGAGTCGCAGTTTCCGGAATCTTCGCACTGACGGTGAGTTTGAGTTCTTTGTTCTTGTGCACTTTTATCTTTTGCATTATTTGAAAACTTGTGTTTCGGGCCACTTTTGACCTTGACTTTCATCATGGAGCAATCCTCCTCCTTTTTTCTTTTTTTTTTTTTTTTTTTTTTTTCTATTCAAGAAATCGTATGTATTTCATTTTTGTTTATAGTTTTGGTGCGATTATAACTCAGGTTTGCCTTCAGAAATTGTTATGTTAACTCAGTGCAATTGAGTTTTGCGTGAAGGGCCTAAATGTTCTTTGTGTAACATTTCTATCAATGGTTTTCTGATGTTGCTATTTACATGACTAAGTGTAAAATTAAATATGAAAAATGAATTGGTTTTGTGAAATTACTTGTTAAACTTTTTGACGCGAGTCTTATTTTAAAATATGATCCGGAATTGTGCACAGAGATGAGTTCTAAAAGAAACGGTGAAATACCTGTTGCGGCTGGTGCTAATTGCAACCCATCCTTTAAGGGAAAAAATGTTATTGAAGCCTATGATATCAGCGGGGATCCAGCCCAAGATGATGATGATGACATTGAGGTAATGCGAAGGAGGTTTATGCAAGGAAGTCCAGCAAAACCCTGGGCTACCCAAGATTCTAGTACAAAGGGATGGGGACGTCCAGATATGGTTCAAAAATCAGGCATGCGCAACAATGGGGGCTCTGGAAGGAATCCTGGGAAAACCTGGGCACAAACTGCTGACTCTAGGACACAACCCAGTTGAGGTAATGCGAAGGCCACGGCTAACCAACAGGATGCCTGAGAAAAATTATATGGCCCCACAACCTGTGACTGGTTCTACTCCGTCAAGAGGTTTTGAAGATGGCCAAAAAGACAAAAGTGTCTCTGAAGCCTACGAGGATGATGCTGATGAAAATTATGATGATGACATTGATGACAAATCCGATGCTGTAGATATTTCAGATGATGAACTTTTAGCGATGACTTGATTCAGATACCAGTCAAAGAGTCATGAGACTCGGAGAGCAGATGGTTCAGCAAATTCTTTGAAAGTTTGGATAGTTTGACTGTTGAAGAGATAAATGAACCGGCAAGGCAGTGGCACTGTCCTGCATGCCAACGTGGTCCAGGTGCTATTGACTGGTACCACGGCCTGCAGCCTTTATGACCCATGCAAAAAACTAAAGGATCAGGAGGTCAAGCTTCCAGAGAACTTGCTGAGCTTTTGGAGAGGAGCGCTAGACGAGGAACTTCGCCTTACCCAGTTGCTGAATTTTTGGAAAGTGGAAAGGTTTAAAGGATGAGGACAAAGATCATGATATAATTGGCCACGATGGTGGTCATTCTGAACACTAAACTGGAGAAAGATAGAATGATAAGGTAAAGTTACATTGCCTTGCTTTCTGTATAGAGGTTACAATAGAGTTATTTTAATGTTAAATTTTACTTTTTGATCACAATGCAGCTTGATTGTGTTGTCATTAAGAAGTACATTTGCTGGATCCTCACAATATAACTCATCTTTTTTATTGTATTGCATTCAGTGGATTGGGATGGGAATCAGGAACTTCTTGCATACTTCAGTTCGTCGCTGCTGTGAAGGCTGACATTCTTATGGTCCACAGGGCATCAGGCATTAGTGTGCTGATTTTTGAGAATTCTGCAGGGGGCTACTTAGAGGCTGAACGACTGCATAAGCATTTTTCTGAGCAAGGAACACGACGAAGCATGAATCATCGGCAGGTGTTATTCCTTCCTGGTGGAAAGCGCCAACTGATTGTTTTATGGCGCTGAGGAGATTTGGTTTTTTTTAATCAGCATTCACAAGGTTCTATCTCCATTTATCTTTCTATTTATCTATTTATATGTATTTGTGTGTGTCTTATATACACAGACATGTATGGCGGCAGGGGTTTGTTCAAAATCATCATAAATCCTGTGAACACTCATGTTAACCATAATGCATCAAAGCATCTCTTTTTTTTGGTATTCTATACATAAAGAATTTCCTTATACAATTCTTAATTATGTTTAACATGCTTTGCAATCCATTAGGCAAATCCAAGCTGAAATTTGAGTTGAGATCGTATCAGGAAATGGTTGTCAAGCAAATTAGGCAAATGAGTGAGGACAATCAACAACTTGGCTATTTCAAGAACATAGTCGATAAAGCGCAAAGGCATTCTAAATCTCTTGAAGCATCTTTCAGTATTGTGAGTGAGAGGCTGAGAAAGACTATGGAGGAGAACTGCATCGTGAAACAAAGAACCAGGTTGCAACACGCACAAAACAAGGAAGAGGTATGATATTCAGTTGCTTATAGCTTTTTCCTTGTTGAAGTTGAAGTGTATTTAAGCTTCACCTGACCAATAACTGTGTTATTTTGCTTTATGGATGGTTTAGGCTAGTAAACGAAGTCCTTGGTTGCACAGTTTATTCCCTGAAGAAATGGCTATTACTTGCACTGAACCCTTTAACTCATGGTTGATTAAGTCTTTTTATCTATGCTAGCTGTCTTGATTATTATTATTATTTCATTAATGTCTTGTACTTCTTGGTCAACCCCCTATGTGTAACCCTTATTTCCTCTTAACTCCTTTCTTATTTATTTTTGTAATTTTTCTGTAGATGGACTTCCAAGAGCAATTTTTTAAGGACCAAATCAAAATTATTCACGAAGCTAGAGATTTGAAGGAAGAGGATTTTGAAATGGTACAGCAACAAGAGCGAGAGAAGGTGAAGCAGTCAATTGAAAATCCTTCCAACACTGAAGACTACAAGAAGAGGTATATAATTAAGATTGATTGCTTTTAAAATAAATTACTTACACTTGAATTTTAGAAATTTAGAATCCTGATATGTTCTTTCTCTTACGCAGGGTTGAGAGAATGGCCCACTTCATTAAATTTCAAGACAAAGAAATGGAAGAGTTTGTAGAGGAGAGGGACCAAAAAATCAAAGTCCACGAAGATAAGAAGTCCGCAATGAGGCGCAGGCACTTAGAAGAAGAGTTGGAGCTAGAGAAAGAATTTGATGCTGAATTAAGCAGCTTGATGGAAAAATACTCCCTCATCTCACAGAAGTTGCTGCCACCACGGACAGGTAGGGAGATATACATTCTTAATTGATAATTTTCACCACAGAACTGAGAATCTTTAAGAACTTTTGATATTCTGGGAATTTCAGTTTTCAAAACCATTTAAAGAAAAAACCCCCCCAAAAAAAAAGATAGCTATATGAGAAGAAACAATTAGCATATTTCTCTGAAACATATATGACTCATGACATGCATGACTCAATCAATATTCATGATTCCACCTATAAATTTGGTCTGATTCTGATATCATTGCAACACATAATTAAGGATACATTCATACGAATGTGATGGATGAATTAAGGGTATGGTGGATAAGAGCATGATGGAATCTAATTTTACCATATTTGAAAAAGGATTCTCCTCTAATGTGCTGCTGGACTAGACATAAATATGTACTTAATTACTTTTACGATACAAATTAAGAGGAATGACATTCATTTGACTTGTAAACAGGCATATGAACAATGGAAATACAGCAGAGGCATGGAGTTTATTGATCCATCTCTCGGATGATTCATCTTCGCCTTGCAAAATCATGAGATGTACGTAAGTGGCAACATTTTGTATACAAGAAAATCCAGTGGACAGACATTCCATGTTGGAAGTTTCTTTAATGCTCAAAAAATATACAATGGCTATTTCTACTCCTAGAAGGCCTGCATTTCCTGTAAAGCGTGACAAAAATATGGGAAGTAGCTCAACATTGATCCAGGCAAGAAATATGCTCAGTTAATGATTCACAACTTTACCAGTTGGATCCCAGATGAGATTTCTGGGTTTCATGGATTAAATGTTCATAACTCAGAAACATTTTAATGAATATAGGCTTCGTTAGATTCACTATTGTTAGAATAGTATTTTGGAAAAAGTAAAGTTGGGTTATCTTTACGAGGAAAATAATTATTAATGTTTTAAAAGTTGAATAAAGTAGAATTGGATTTTGAGAATATTGAAACAAATATATTTTTAGGTTTTTAAGATAGGATGGGGTAATAATAGTGAACCAAATCGGCCCAGCTTTTCTTTCATATTTCCGATATTACCGTATTACTTATCATGGCAATTCATCGTTCACTGACTTTGCCAAATATGAAAACACTCGGTCGCTTTGAATGCAAAATCTAGGATAAGACTTGATATCGAACAATGTTCATGTAGTGGAGGAACTTTACTTGCAATGTTAGTGGCGAACTTTGAATTTCACTGGAAAGAAAAATAATTGTCTCCTTCCTCTCAGGTTTTGTTACAAATTTATAATATAATGTTATATCGTGTTGTCTCGTACCTTTGGGTCTAGGAAAATCTCGAGGCTTTTACCTATGTTTGTGTTATACAACATTGTATCAAAAACATAAACGTAAATTTTATAAACTCAATATCTACTTGTATAGTTGTATATTGTTATGTAATAGCCAAAATTGTCCCTTTAAAGTTGTTATTGGCGTGACAGTAAATATTCAGAATTCAATCTCTAGAAATCAAGCAAGCTAAGTCAACTATGTCAGTCATTATATTCATTTCACCCTCCTCTCCCAACAACCTTTGGAAGCTTGCCCTTACCATCATTAAACTGGATCACATTACTTTATCCACCAACCTTTGTACCTTTACCATCAGATGAATCAATAGACAATCAATAAGCTCAAAAATATCTTGGTTTATACTAGTATTGCAACATCGACAATGTTAACGAAGACGATCCTGAATCATTTTATAAACTTTGCACGCTACCCTTAACTATACCTTTATTATTAGTAATGTTAGGTCTACAATGTTTTCTCACAATCTCCGACATGGTAACTCATCATTGGTTAGCTCGCAAATAAGCAGGCGAAACACATTTTACAAGCTGACCAATGACTAGTTGTCACATAAGGATTATGAAAAAATGTGGTGAGATTGGATTGTGGACCTAACATTACTCTCTCGATTATATATACCTAACTATATCTTTTGAGGGCATTTTAATCATAAATTGGACTTTATTAGTCTTCATTTCCCGGTTTCCATATCTTAACATATGTTTAGGGGACACGGCATCAATTAACTTTCTTCCATGGCAAGCAAAAATATCATCCTCCTAATTTTCGCTTTTCTTTCTTCTTATCACTTACAATTTTCAGCTGCACAAACCTGGATCAAAGCTAGTTATCAGTATCCTGGTAGTGAATTTCCCATATCAGACATAAATTCTGCCTTGTTTACTCTCCTTATTTGTGCTTTTGCCAATGTAGACTCTTCAACCTACCAGCTTTCTATCCCCTCCCAGTTAAAAATACTTCTCAACCTTTGCCAACATCGTCAGGCGCAAAAACCAGTTGATAAATACTCTATTGTCAATCTGGAATGGACAGAATGCAACAGGTCAGTTCATTTTGGGAAACAAAGTGAACTCTTCTGTTTTGTCTTCAATGATTAGTGATTCTTCTCACAGGAAGTATTTCATTGAATCTTCGATAAGAGTTATGGATTTCAAGGCATAGACTTGTTTTGGCTATGGCCTGACAGTAAAGACTTCGAATAATATGGCAACTTTTTTAGATGAATGGAGGGATGCTGTTGCTTTTGAGGCAAGAAACTCAACTGAGCTAGAACTTCTATTAGCGCTAGCTTTTCAATATGTTCCCACTCATGAAACTGTGAGTTAAACAAAAGCTTGGATCTCTGTCTCTTTGGTTAGTAATGCATCATTTGATGCTTCCAGATTTAGCTAATTAAATAAGATTATGGAGCTGCAGAAAGCAGAAACTTGTGATATAATTAAACTTGTCATTACAGACCTGATTAGACGGTATGTATTAGATTGGCAAAGGTGTGTCAACATCATTGAAGGGGTTACAAAAGAACTTCTGTATCTCCAGGAATACTCGAATTTCACAATCATTCACCGAGTTCTAAAAGTT